TCATTTATCTGCATGTCTTCAATCAAACCGAGTATAAATAGAATATCATTGTTATGAAACAATATTTTAAGAGGAAAATATGAAAAAAGCTCTCAATGTTAAGAGTGAACAGTTTAAATAAATGCTTGATGCGAATTAAAATATCGCGTAAAATATCAAAATGGTTTTATTTTTCCTCGATTTATGTTTATTGAATTGGCTTCGTGGGGGCAATACTTCTTCGATCCTTGTGGACTGGCGTTACAGAATCACAAAAAACTTTACCAAATAACAGAAACCACATTATTTGAATACTTTCAACGACTGCAATAACTGAAATGGTTAGCACATGTAACACAAAGAGAAAATAATGATAGAATCAAGATGTTAACGTTCCACTCTACTTCAGACAAATGTTCAGCAAGGAAACCTTCATCAATAATGGAAAGAGCGATAACAGCTAGTGGGTTAGAGAAACCTATTTTGAGGAAAAACAGTTTTAAGAGGAAGGGTTTACATATTTCAATTGAAAATAGCGCTGTTTGATCGGCCAATGAATGCCGAATGTTCCCCCATAAGGAATATTAAACACAAAAGCTAGGCATCACTTCTACTTCGGAATAGGGCTTTAGTTTATTACCCGGCGCCTCAGGTAACATCAAAAGGGGAAGTGCCGAGAGGGATTGGGAAATTTCCTACGGTATTGTTGTTAAATCCACTTTAACTTGTGTCATAATCAATAGCGACGCTAGCGTGCTGAAAAACACCTTCTATAAGGAAACAAAGCTACTACTAGCGTTACAATATCATTTATCGAAGGCTGACAAGTCTACTTTTTTCAGTGTTGTCGTTTGTATTAGTTTGTTAGAAACGCTTATGTCCATATTTTATTGGGAGAAGCCGTTTAAGAGCTGTTATATTCCGTGCTAATAGGAATATGGAATAGACAAACACGGTGGATGAATAGTAACAGGTTTATTGTAGAAACCAGTATAACAAGCAAGGAAGTAATAGTTATGCGCACGGTCGTCGCAAGACAGTACATTTGTGGGCGCGCTGATATCGGAAGACCGCAAGTCTCGCATATCTCAGCTCGAAGGTATTTATCTGCCTCCCCACAATAAAGGATGTCACAAGGCCGAGTTTAATGTGGGGCAATCCGAGTCCGTAGGCCCGGTCAAAAATTCCCCGTAACCTCGCATAAACGGGTTCGGGTCTGTCTACCTCCTCGGACGATAGCTTCGTCCGGGTTCTTCTCAGCCCAAAGGCCGAGAGTTTGACAGTAGTCAAGATCTGAATAATAGATCCCAGCTCAACTCTCTCGGATACTTATTGGTGGTTACCACCTATAATGCCACCACTCATGGAGGTGGCAGGTTATTCCATTACATCAAGATCATTATAAAAGGTGCTTGTCTACTGGAGAACTATACCCCGGTTGTCAGATTTTGATATTAATGAGCTCGCCAATGCTAAAATATCCCTCATCGCATGCATCAAATTTGAACTTCCGCTCGAAACGCTCCAAATAGATGCGGGTTAATATTTATCCGTACGCCCTCTCGAAAAAAAACAGAGGACAAGGCTGAGTTTAAAGCGGAAGTTCTGTGCCTACACTGGACTAGAGGCTCCAAATACTCAAGCCTCCTCAGAGGTTCCACAGTGGAAATATCCAGACGCCAGAGATTAAATCTAGCCCTCGCGGGAAGTGTGTGAGATATTGCTAGTAGAAATGGTCATTTTGAGATTCAGCAATAAGAAATATGGTTTCAGGGTGTATAAAGAGAGGTAAGCAGTAATGACCTTTTAATATTATATTTTGAAAATCTAACAAATCCTATAAATTATGAAATAAACAACTATCAACGCAACCAACTGCTTTAATTACGAGGATTATGCTAATTCTATTTTACGGCATAGTGCAGCTGTCAAACTTTGTAACGCAAAGGAAGAGGTCTTTAGCCTCGCACCGTCAGATATCGTTGCTCGCATACTGCTAAAATCATTCTACGATGCTAACTCTAACTTGTTGAGCTTAATCAGCTGACGACACTTCAGTCTTTCTGAATTCAATGTATCTGGATATTTTCTTTTCACAATTACTATATGGTATCCATCCTCTTATACGGCAGTGAATGTTGAACAATCTTCCCACAGATGAGGAAAAAACTAGAGCTAGCAGAAATGTGGTTCTACAAAAGGATACTAAAAAAAATTCCATAGTGAGAGCAAATAAGCAACAAGAAAGTCTTAAAGAAAATGGCAACAGAAAGAACACCTATACTCAAACCCAGAAAAAGACAGTTGAAATTCCTTAGGCACATACGGAGGAAGGATGTGTTGGAAAACTTAATTTTCACGGGGTATACTGAGGCCAAGAGAGATAGGGGAAGGTCACGAGCCAATTACGTGACGAGCTTGTGTATATGGATGGCGGAAAGAGGGATGGGGACCTTAGCAGAAGAAGTAAAACTGCTGAGCGCCACGCGAGATAGGAAATTCTGGAGAACCATGTCATGAAGGGAAGCGGCACATAGAAAAAAAAGTGATACCCTTTGTTTCTGAAATCAATCATTCCTCCAATTATGCCCTGAATTCTCATGGTTTATTTCGGACTAATATCCTCCTCTTTGTTGCATTGCATTTTAGTGGCATGTGTTCTGTTTACACTTAAGTCAAAAGTATGACATCACTTCGGTTTACATTTGAGTAAAAAAGCAGACATAATTTCGGTTGAGTTAAAAAGATGACGTAGGTTCGGTTCACATTTAAACCAAAATGGAGGTATCAATTCGATTTACACTTGAATCAAAATGAAGGTATCAATTCGATTTACACTTGAATCAAAATGAAGGTATCAATTCGATTTACACTTGAATCAAAATGAAGGTATCAATTCGATTTACACTTGAATCAAAATGAAGGTATCAATTCGGTTTATACATGTAAAAAAAATGGAGGTATCAATTCGATTTACCCTTGACTCAAAATGGAGGAATCAGTTCGGTTTATACTTGAGTCAAATTATTAGGTTGTCATACAAGAAATAACGCATTTTTAGTTGGTTATTGATCCGGTCGTCTAACGAATAACCTCCTTTGTATATAAAAAAAATCTTGACTTATTCCTGATTTTTTTTTTCTTTCTAGATAATTTTTCTTTCAATATATTGTTAGTCATAAGCCTAGTGAAAATGGTTACAATGAAACAATGTTCAGTAATCTTACTGTATGAGTACAAACTGGGAAAAAGAACCATTTTATTTCAAGGAATCACTACATGCGATGAGAAATGGATATTGTTAAGAGATTAGGCCGGTGATTAGATGCAAGTGAATCACTAAAACAATACCCCAAATCTCCACTGCAACCTAAAAAGTTAATAGTTACTGCGTGGTGGTCTTTCAAAGGGGTTGTTCATTATGAAATTTGACCTCATTCTCCGTATTCACCTGATTTTTCCCGTGCTGATTTTCACTTATTTTAGTATTTTGAGCTTTTCATACGCAGTAAAACATCCCCCAATAAGAAAGAGACAATCGAAGCATTTGAACTTTTTATCACATCAAAGGATAAGATTTTTTTAAAGATGGGATCAAGAATTTAGAAGCACATTGAGCAACAGGCATTCACCAAGATGGTGCTTATTTCAACCAAATAAATTACTGTATTTGACGGCGTATAAGGCGCACTTTTTTTACCAAAAATATCTTCTAAAATTCCCTCCCCGTCTTATATACAATATGTAGGTTTAAAATTCGTGAGAGTCGGCCGAAATTAGCTACCTGGCAACTCCTATCAGCTTAGACGTTTAAAGTAACTTCAATATACTTATTGTCATTATTTAAAAGGCTATTATGCAGATTAAAAGTGTTATCGTTGATAATATTCATTATATTAATTTCATTACGTTTAATATTAGTACTTTATTTCACTAAAATTATATGTAATAAATTCAAATTATTTATTTGTAAAATATATTTGTTTCATTAAAATTTTTCTCGTGATAACTTTCGATTTCGTTGGTATAAATAAAATCAGAATTGTTATGTTCTAATTATTCCACTAGATTGTACAGATCAGATAAAGGACAATTTTTGACTGAATTTTAAAGGTAACTGTACTGTTTTGCTCAATTGTAATAATTGCTTGAGTTTTAATTTGGTTTCTTACCTTTTGGATATAATAAAGTTTTTATAGGCCCGTGTTCCTTTTTCCTATTATTTTTCGTTTAATTGTAATCATGGCTTTGTTTAACCAAAATAATACCTCATAAACATAGGCTAGGCTGTACCATTTACTAATAATTTCACTAATTTTACTAATTTTTTCGTGATTTGCCCTGTTGAAATTGGGGTGAGTCTTATACACTGTCAAATACAAGAGTTATTTATCATTTCAGAAGCGTTTTATTCACTTTTTATAAAGTGCGTCATTTCATTTGTGACAACCTAATAAATATTCATCCAGTTTAATCTCGAATTTCTAAGTCCCCTCTTTTGTGAGGGCTTTATATTTCTCTCATGACAAGCAACAAAGAAGCGGATTTTCACTCGAACCAACCAAAATTCAGTAAATTGTGACTCGGACAAAATGGGATTGATTAATTTGTTTTTACGGCTTAGCAATATTAAAGAAGTTATTAAAAGTCAGAAATTATTTTGTAGATTGTAAATATATTTCGTAGATAATAATAATTTACTGATATAAGTCCTGCTAATTAGTCTATAGGTGGAGGGAGACAAGGTGAAATAATATATTTCTCAAGTTTTTTTTTTTTTTTGTGTGCAATTGAATATAACACGACTGGAATCGGAACTCGAATCTCCGAGTTCCAATTCCGAACTGTTATCTACTACAGCACCCGCAGATCCAATCTTACAGCATCTGACATTGCCAGGCGGTCACCCATCTAAGTACTGACCAGACTCGACGTTGTTTAACACGCTGAAAAACCGATTCTTGTACGATCACCGAAGTTATGTCCGGATATGATGTACATATCATTTGCACATTCAATCTTCCAGCACTTGGTATTCCCAAGCGCTCACCCATCTAGGTACTGACCAGGCTCGACGTTGCTTTATTTTGGTGATCGTACGTGAACCGTTGTTTCAATCTGATATGGCCGCAGGCCGCCAAAATGTGACTGTGACAGATTCAGCTGTTGTTATCAGTGTAAGCGAGACACAAACTGATTAGATTGAAAGAAGTCTTTAAAATGCGAATGAAAGAGGATAGTTTTCAAATCCTCAATGTTTGTCTCATGGAACTGACATTTATAATGACTTTATTTAATTTAATTTCTTGGAGCTTTCCTTTAAAATATTTATCTGCTGTCGTTCTGTATGCCGTCTGCTTGCTAAGTTTGACTTATAGCTCAGAGATTAAATTTCTTCCGCGTTTGCTTCTAGAGCCAAATGCTTCTTTACAATAATTTGATTTGTCGTTAAGCGTATTTATTTTGTACGTTGGAAAGTTTATTGACGACTTAGCTCCCTTTTACTTCCTATCTCTTTTTTTTTTTTTTTTTTTTTTTTATTTTATTTTTTTTTGTAACATTTCAAGCAAACTATTTGCACTGATTGTAGCTTGAACGGCAGATTCCATTCCACAAGCCGGTTTTGCTCCATAGCCACTGAGCTACAATCGAGTACACGTACGTGCCTAATGGAAGATGTACTTGATAAGCACTTTAAAATTCTTAAAGTCTTTTTGATCGTCAGGAATTGTTTAACGTGAATGAAATTATTTCATTCTTTTCTCTTTTCTTTTTTTTTATTTTTGTTTTTTTTTTTTATTTCTCACTGACTGTGGTGTTTTTGAAAATGTTACCAATTTAACAGACTTTCCAGTTGTAGTTTTAATCTGGCTTTCCCTCGTCGACTGTTTGTACATTTTGAAACAAAGAGAAAAGAAACCTTTAAACTTAAAGTAAATATATTTTTTCAAATCAGATTAATGATACTTTAAATCAGCTAATATTCCTCAAATAAAGTTTCAGCAATGTAGATTTTATTTTTGGAAGATTTTTAAAACCAAGAATTAACTTTAGTTTTACAAATGTGTCAAAAATGAACAAATGATTTTCTGAAAGCGACCAAAAAGTTAAGATTCCAATCAATATAATTTCTACTTGAAATACACCAGAGTATTTTGTTTACTGGAAATAGTAAATTTAATCATTTAGCTTTCAATTAAGGCTATAAATAAAGCTTCATGAATTTTTAAAAAATCATTTTAAACCTTAGATACCGAAAGTTTAGTGGAAGTAACTAGTTTAATGGAAACATGAACACTAAGTAACCATTTCACATCATCTATACATTTTATCATGTATGAGCATACTAGCTTTATATTTATATATATATATATATATATATATAGAGAGAGAGAGAGAGAGAGAGAATTCACACATATATGCATATAGCAGTTCACATATATGCTCCTCTCTCTGTCGTTGTGTGTGTGGGGGGACAATGGTGAGCGAATTTGAATATCAGACGATTACTAATATGCAGGATCGTCAATCCTCACTGCGCACCCACGTAAATAGATAAATTCATAATATATCAAAGATATATATATATATATATATATATATATATAATGAAATGGACAAAGTCCGACAATTATTTTAAGACATTTTATGTTTATAAATCCTTTTTATAGATACAAATATTTAAGTAATTTCTCTTTTATAATAAATAGAGAATTTACTTAAATATTTGTATCTATAAAAGAATGTATAGACATAAAATGTCCTTTATATATATATATATATATATATATATATATATATATATATATATATATATATATTTTTTTTTCATATAGATAAAAACTATTTACTACTACAAAGATGCAACTTCGTTTCGGTGCATTTAGATACACCGCGACTGGAACCAAAAAGGTTATGAACAATTCTGTTTGTAAGTAGACTGCACGTGGAACGTCACTTCCTTTTTGTATTTGTTAAAAAAAGGTCAGTTTTAAGAGGGGACGTATAAGAATAAAGAAAAGATAGGAAAGGCAAAAGGGTGACAGTGAAACAAGTGCTTGTTGATATCAGTTTTCCTGAAGGATTGGTGAGGTGTTAAAGTGATGGCTCGGCCAGAACAATTTAAAATCAACAGCAAAGGTCAAGGGTTTAGAAAAACGATTTCCAAGCACTCTAAGAGTGTGGAGTGGGAGAGGAAAGGTGGGAATAGGAGAGAGTAAGACGATGAATGAGAAAGGAGGGATAAGTTCAAACGATGGTTATAGTAGTAATTGGAAACATTTTTTGGTAACTTTAAAACGAAGCCAGAGCTGCATTGCGTATATTTAGGCTGGAATTATTGCTACTCGCTTTGTAATCAACGAATGTATTTTGTAAATTAACAAATTAAGAGGTGGAGATTTTTTCTCGGAATGTTGAATAAATAAGTTATTTGGATTATTTTTAACAAGTTTTAGTTCAGAATTTAAGATAGAAGAAGAAAGGTATATAAAAGTATGGGATATTAACATGGCTTATTGTCGGAATGTATAACTTGTAGAATAAGTATGGATGTAAATCAGTTTATCTGATGCTGTTACTAGTATTATATATGTCTAAAAAACATTTTAAGAATCATAATTTAAGATATATAGGTATATAAGCGGGTGGAAAATATATCAAAGTGAGTTTTAAACGTTTAGGGTTATGGATTTGAAAGTTTAACAAGATTGCAATGTTAGATCTTTAGTAAGCCTACAACAAATAGTAGTTTCATTAAACTTTGATTTAATAATTGGCTGTTGTTTAAAAGTTTAATTATACATATCTTTCCTGCAAACATAGAAAACAAGGTTCGTTCAAAGATTTGAAAGTTCTGGCTTGTTTTAGGATTTTCCATTTAACCTTAGGAGTTTTGCCTTGCTCATTCAGTTTCCAAAAATATTTAGAAAGTGATGTCATACTTGTTTATATTAGTAAAAGTTATGTGATTGTGTTATCGATCCTTAAAAGGTCTTCTAGTGGATCCCACATACAATTTAATATCCTTGGGGTTCTCATTTGATGCGATATAGCACATATATACAATGGATTTCATTAGGCACCTGTTTCATAATGGACACTGATCGAGGATTCCGCAATTACATAGCTCGGTTACTTGAGGTATATTAGAATTTGTGCTTGGGTTGCGTTTATTCTCGTTATAAAGTATGAGTATTCTATTGTTGTGTGATTTAATAATTTTATCTAGATTTCTAGAACAGCTAACTGATTTTTAGCGTTTGCGGTTGAAATTTTGACTTAATTTAATATTTGTAGCAAAATGTTTGTTAATTAGATTTAAAAAAATTCTGTCCGAATTTGGTACGGACTAATATGTTAAAGGGAGGTGTTTATCAAATTATTTTTCTTCCTCTATTGTTCTTTCTAGAGTAACTATAATTTTCCCTATATTTAATTTCGGAAGATCTGTAGCAGCTGTCGCTGAGGATTTTGTGATAAATAAATTTCTGTTTATCAAATATTTCTTTGGTAGAAGAGTACTGGTTGATACGACGTTCAACGGATGATGGAATATGCTTAATAAAAGGCACTGGATGACTGGAATTAGGATTTATATAAATGGAGTTAGCGTTATTTTTCAAGAAAGGTTGGAAATTACTAAGGGTTAAGTTTAAGGTTACATCTAAGAAATCCACTTGTTTAATGTTAGAATTAATTTTAACTTTAAGGTGTAAAGATGTAAAAACTCTATGAACCAATTTCCTCAACTTGCCTATCTTACTCCTGGTAGAATTATTTACTAGCATCAGTCCATCGTCCCTATAAATCCCTATATTATTTAAGCTAATTTCATTATGTGATGTGAGATTGTACAAGATAAATAGTCCGACTAAGTCAAATGACTCAGCATAATCCAGTGATCCCATAGATATATCAAAGTTTTCATCCGAATTCTTTATCAATTGTTCGTTGTTGTGGATTATTATTGATTGCCTGCAATTTAGGTGAATGCCGGTTTCATCCTTAGAGATATCGGAATAAAATTCGGCAAACTTCAATGCCATTTCGAAAAGGTTTTTGGATAACAGATGGATAAAAGTCCACAATGTCAAATTGGATGAAAGTACTGTTGTTTTTTGTTATTGTGGCCTTTAACTAATCAATCTCTTCTGTAGTGCCGGTCCATTGGATAAGTCCGAGTTGGTTCTTAATCTGTTTGTCTACACGTTCCAGGATCGTTTTGCTGATTCTCCCGATTTCAGACTTAGTTGGGTTGATAATCCTTGTGGTCTTTCAGTAGAATGTAGGATTCCCTAGTTGAAGGTTTGTGCTCCCTATCGACAAGTACTATTATTTCACTCTGTTACCGTTTTGCCTTTCGTGTCTTTTCTTTATCCTTATACGTACCCTCTTAAAATTTACCTTTTTTTTTTCAAACAAATAGAAAAAAGGAAATGACGTTCCACGTGCGGCCTGCTTACAAACAGAATTGTTCATAACCATTTTGATGCTCACCAGTTGAGGTGCAACTAAATGCACCGAAACGAAGTTGCATCTTTGTAGTGAGTAAATTTTTGTCTGTATGAAAAAAAAATATAAATAATTATTGCTCTACCATCGGTATTGAGCCCACTTTTGAATTAATGCTGTGAACGTTAGAATTAATATATTATTTTTGTTCTCATTACATTCGGGTATATATATATATATATATATATATATATATATATATATATATATATATATATATAGGCTAATTTGTTAAGTGTGTCCGATAAGATTTCCTCGTATATATGCGCGCATATGGGCGCTTCGACGTGATGTAATTCAATTAATACCGTGTAAATGGCGCAGCAACTCGAATCCGAGGATGTCAGTCTACTAGGGCGATTAGCCAATTCCCATTGCAGAGGTCTGCACAGGCACATTTGGCTTTGTTCAACACCCACAGAGCCTACTTATAGTTTATACTGCAACTATGCTAAGCAATGCTTAACTACAGTTCCTGGAAGAGAGTGAGTGATCAGCAGTCTGAACAAGGCCATCGCGTTCAAACGCTCGGTCACAATGACTTGTGACTCAGTGCTAACACAACCACCGAGATATATATATATATATATATACGCGTGCAAATACCCTTGGGAAAGTTATGAATCTGTTTCATCCTTCCAAATGTGTAGCAAGAAAAATCATCGTTACACTCCAAAAATATTTCTGCAATATTTATTTGTAAAAAAGAAAAAAAAAGTTATTCTTACAATCCAAAATATGTATCGGTTATAAATAAACCAAAAAAGCACAAATAATTGATAATCTGTTAAAATCAATGTAAAAATTAATCCTCATATATAGTAATGGAAGAGTTCTCAGTTGGTGAGAGTATTTATAGTCAGAGACAGTGTAAATGTCTCAATAAACCCTCTATTGTAACTGTCCGTTTCACACTTAAATGCGAACTTCAGGCTGTAATTTTGTTGATAAAATGTTTTTTGTGGATTAGATCATTTTCCGACATCACTTCCATCTTCATATTTTAGATATTGTTACATGAAATTTTGTCTGTTTTTGAAATAGATTGATGGAAAGATAGATAAGGAACAGCCATAGATAGATAATGAACAGACTGAAATAACATAGAAACATAGAGATAATGGACAGACTGAAATAAATAGATAGATAGATAGATAAAGGGGAAATAGATAGATAGATAAATAGATAGATAGATAGATAAAGGGGAAATAGATAGATAGATAAAGGGGAAATAGATAGGTAGATAGATAGATAAAGGGGAAATAGATAGGTAGATAGATAGATAGATAGATAAAGGGGAAATAGATAGGTAGATAGGTAGATAGATATTGAATAACCTGAGATAGACAATGATCAAGGTCAGATAAATGGATAGTAAATGAACACACTCGGATAGACAATGAGCAGATAGGTAATGAACATATTGAGACAGATATTTAATACACTGAGATAGATATTAAACAAACTGTGATCGATATATAGATAGGTACTGGAAAAACTAACATATATAGGTAGATAGATCGATAGATAGATAATTAAAATGATACTGAACAGACTGAGATAGATACTGAACAGACTGTTAGTGAACAAACAGAAATAGATACGTTTGCAGACGAAAGGTGATGTATCCAAACATAAATTGTTACTGAGATCGATATGAACAAATATGAAAAGTTCGAAACAAAAGATAATCTCATTCATATGAATTACTAAGCCTTCAATGTTTAATGATACCTAATCACCTATAATCGGTACGAGCTAACCTACTCTTCGTAATCACTTTGTTGGCAAATCTAATATGTACACACGCATAGATAGATAGATGCGTATTTGGTAGCACTTAATAATGGAGCCACCAAATTTTATTAAAAAAATCCTGTGCGTTGTAAAAATAACATCGTTAAAGAAGCCATAAAAATAGCTTCTAATGTAAAGATCGATGATAGTCAACAAGTTACATAAATGACAAACATTACCATCAAGTACCATAAACCCAATTTCCACAACAACTGTCAATACAGACTACTAAACTAAAATTAGCAAAACCATTCTCGAAAGAGCATATAAATATACTCGAGATCCATTTGGGAATTAATCTATAACAATAGAAATGAATCAGAAGACTGGTTCAGGAAAAAAAACAATGAATATACATTAATCCAGTTCGACATCAGCAACTTCTACCCGTCTATTACCGAAGAACTTGTAATGGATTCTATAAAATTAGTTAAAAATGATTGCAACTTTAGTAAGAATAAAAGAAATCCAACTCATTAAAAAGGCACAAAAATCCATGCTCTATCCTAATGGATGCATCTGGACTAAAAAAAATAATCAAGAATTTAACATTGCAATGGGCGCATATAATTCTGTAGACGCATGAAAAATATTGGATATTTGTTTAATATGTTGGGTAAGATCTCTGTTCGACATTAGTAAAGATGGTCTTTATAAGAGATGTCGGTGTGATATTACTGTGAAAGAAAAGTCTAAGAAACATAGAAATATCAAAAAAAAAATTGAAAAATTATTTGAAAACCCTGGTTTAAACGCTACTGCCATAACAAACGTAAAAGTGATCAACTTTCTTTATGTAACCCTGGATTTGAATACCGGTACATCTAAAGAGCAAATAGACACAATTAATCAAATTATTCACCTCTTAATTCGATACAGGTTAAAAACTGACTCTAGTCACAACGAAATATTTGATGAAGTTAGTTAAATATTTTAATGTCCTAGAAGATAGCAAGCACAAAGTTGATATAGAATACGACACGATAAAACACAAAAGATATAAACAAGATACCTCAATGTGTTATCGTTTAACACCCATTTCAGCCGCAATATAAAAGCTAATCTCGGTAGAATATAACTGAAAAACATTGAAAAATTTTCCCAAAATTAAAGAAGATATTTAATAAAGATAACCAAGATCAGGAACAGAAAAATAGATCTCCCACAATAATAATAAATTATTAAACAATTGCATAAATTACGAAAATAATAACAAAGAAATAAGAGACGAGAAAATATTAATAAAAGATGCATTTGCCTAAATCATAAGAACTGTTCCTTAATGGTTCAATGTTTTACTAATACTATCTATGGATCTAATTTTACATATGATAACTTTGTGATGTCATCGAACACTTGTTGCCACTTTCTTAATGCTCGTTGTAGTAGAGACTTTGTAATCGCAGATACAACTATAGTAACGCCGACGAACAATACTGATATCAGACGCCTTCGAATAACACTCGCGCTAATAGTACTTGCTCGATAGTACTCGCTCGGAATGTAACCACCGAATAGTGATGATATTCACTAACCACCTCACGCGGTCGGGTGTGGCACAAGACCGAGTTTATTGTGGTGTATCTGAGCCAAAAATTCCCCGTAGACCCCGTAAAAAAACGGAGTCGGGTAGCTGTCTCCCGAGACGAGGTTCTGTCCTTCGACATAGCATTGTCTGGGGATCCTCTCTGACCAGAGGCAGTGTTTTGACCAGAACATTTCCGAAGTAATCCGGATAATGATCACTTAAACGCCACGCCATATATATATATATATATATATATATATATATATATATATATTTCCTTTACCATCAAGTGATCTATTTACCCAATATGGGATCGCCTGTGTTTCCTACCTGATGATCTGTGTTCAAACTCCAGTGTCGACAGCAACTCTTTATTTCTATATAACAATAACCATCAAAAACAATATATAGGATCCGCGGAGAGAGAAAGTGGGAAAAGATTTTGCAACCACAAACTATGCATGACTAACAAAAAGTACAAAAATAATACATCTATCTCTCTCTCAATATTATTGGCAGCTAAAATACAGTGATGGTCAACCTATTATCACATTGAACATGTTAGCAGGAACTAAATTCTACAATGACAAGAGAGGAAGATGGAATATTTGCTTTTTCGAAAAATTGATAATCCTAATAAATATTGACAACGCTAATTTACTAAATCGAAGAAATGTGTTAATGTTCACATGCAGACATAAAAACAAATATCTTTTGAAAAACGTTAGACCGGATAGAATTTAGTGCGTACCAACAATTCTCATGTTTGTTTGATATATAAATATAAACATAATATATCGCACATATAGTGCTAGTGTTAATAAAGCAGTGCTCGATGTAATACAGCAGAGCTATTAAGTAAAATATACATATTATACATCACCGGTAGCATGAAGCAGAGTTTCATGCACAATGCAATCTAATTATTAATCTTTATCTAATTATGTGTGTGTACGGATGTTTATATTTTGCGTGTATTCATTTATTTTTTATTAATAGATACAAATAGATGGATGCTTGTGTATATGTGTGTACGTATATATTTTGTCTGCATGCACATAAGTAAATTTTATATTTAATATCAAATATGTACACGTATATTTTTAACTTGTGTATGAACAGCATTAAAATAAAAAAGGAAACAATCAGTATAATATATATGTAGTTATATTGAGTGTTATGTATAAGTATGCATGTACGTATATTTATGTGTGTATCTATCTCTTTCTCTCGCTATATATATTTGCATATATATATATATATATATATATATATAGTAAGGCATTGCCCGCTCGCTATCGCTTCGCAAAGTAAGATATATTCACTACTTGAAATATTTGAAACAAAAATTTTAAATGAACATTTTATTAATAAGTTGGCTTGTTATAGTTAAGGAAAGTTTTACAAATAGATGCGAACTTGTTGAAGGCCAAGTAAAATGCCAATTTCAAACCCTCTTCTGTACTATATTAGACGATATTCCTAAACAGAACTATTTTTGATAGGAAAATCAAAACAATCCTCGAATAAAAGAACAGTAATTTAAGTAAGTTAGTTAATGAAATATACTTTTTTTAAAATCAGTATGAAAATTAGTTAAACCTAAAGTAATACTGCCTAGAAGTAGATAATATATATTACAGATACTGAGGTTTTAGTTTGTAAATTGCTTTCTTGAGTGGTACACACATTCTGATACTTACCGGTCAAAGGGATCCGTCCCTGCTCTGGTAGTATCACGGCTATGGCTAGCTTGAACCGGCTCTTACCAGCTAAGACCAGCCGCCTGAATGAAGACATTCGGGTCCCCACGTTAAAAACTGACCTTGTGTCACAAACTGAGTCAGTGAGATTTACTTATCACTGCTCTCTTGAGTGGTTTACACACTCTGGTAATTACCGGGCACATGGATCCGTCCCTGCGCTGGTAGTATCATGACTATGACTAGTTTGGACTAGCTTATACCAGCTATAACCAGCTTGGACAAGCTATGACCCGCTAAAACCAGCGGCCCGAGTGAAGACAGTCGCAACTAAAGAAAATTATACTGAGAAAAGCCCAGCCCTGGGAAACAGCTGCCTCATTGCGCCAGAGAGAGGGATCGATGCTCGCATCGAGGCCAACGGTTGCGGGGACCGCGTGCAATTTTTGTTCCAAGCTCGGATATACGCGCTTGGGCTCTCCACTTTAAACCGACCTTGTGTCACAACCTGACCTCGTGTGGGGTTGAGTAAATACATATTGCTCTCTCGAGTAGTTTGTAACACATTGATACTTACCGGGCGCAGGGATCCGTCTCTGACCAGCTTTAATCAGCTATGATCATCGGCCCGAGTGAAGACACTCGGGTCTCCAAGTTAAAAACTGACCTTGCGTCACAACCTGACTCAGTTGAGAGGGGGTCCAGATAAATACAAATTGCTTTCTGCCTTTGGGCAGAGTTCGCTCAGGGGCAGCTCCGTCAAAGAACAGTCACAACTGAGGAAAATTATACTGAGAAGTACCTTCATTACACCAGAGAGAGGGATCGGTGCTCGCACCGAGACCAGCGCAACTGATGGTTGCGGGAACTCGGGTAATTTTGTTCCTTGCCCGGGTGTACGCACTAGGGCTCCCCACATTAAACCGACCTTGTATCACAAGGCGACTACGTGGGGGTCGAGTATAAAGTAGAGCTGTGGCTTTTAATCTCAGAAATCGTGGGAGAATTGAGCGCCAATTTCGCATTTATTCATATCGATTCCATAATATAAGTTTTACTTAATTAGCTATTATGTTTCTCTAACTCTTCAAATGTTGAATGTATAACTAATTCTAATTTCTATTTTCCCATCTTTACACTATATTAATTTTATATTATAAATTGCCCCCTGTTCCGTCACCAATGAAATAAAAATAATTGTTTGTACGGAAAATAAGGATCTACGTACATCAAATCGTCCTTAAATTAAGTGGCAGCAGAAGAATTAACGTTGAACTTTTAAAAGGTAAGCTTGAACATTAATTCAACA